TGTAAACCCAAACAGTCAATCATTTGCTTGAGGAATTAGTTCAAGGGTAATCTGCTCAAGTATTTCCGAATTCGAGCATTTATCCCATACTCACTTTCTTGTGTAAAGAGTTGGTACAAAGGAAGAAAATCGGAAAAAAGTATGCTAAACATTTCATGAAGGAGGCAAAGCATCCAATGGTCTTCTTTTCCTTCTCTTGCTAACCCACTTCTGCCATCTCAGCCTCTTCTTCCTCCTCCTCTTTTTCCTCTGGGAACAAAATATACGAAGTCTTGCAAGAGTGAGAATGGATAAAACTATATTTCATTTAAGAATTATTCCTAATGTAGCATTTTATTTCCAATGCATTAATGGCTTTGAAAATAGTACTATTCGTCGTCCTTCAGACTGTATTTTCTCAATTCTTAAATGGTTTTTAAACATGTGATGCAATATGGACATAAATCATTCGTACAAAAGGTTTGTATTGCAGTGTAAATCAAGTCCACTATCATTCATTTCATTAAAAGCCAAGTTATTATTTTCTTCCAAAAATTTTGAGTACAAACATTCACTTCAAATTCATTCTCCAACCAACGCAAAATATTTCTGTAAATGGCAAAACTTCACAATTTCTACTTCATTACCTTTGATACTCAAAATAAATCTTCAGGTCATAATTACGATAAAAACTGTATCAGCAATCTTTTATGATTTCTCATATGCTGAATGTTTACCTTTCCAATGCAGTACAAAATTAACCCTTTGTTCACAATAAAATAATGAACAAGATAGTATTTAGCTCACAATGCAAGTTCTTCAAATTTTACAGAAATTGACGAAGTTCTTAAATTATATTGTCTTCCTCTCTGACCATCTATCCCTTACACTGCTATCCTGTTCTCCTCAGCATCGCCCTGTGTCACACGGCCAGCAAACATCACCATAAAATGAGAATTTCTAATCAGATCAATCTTTGCGAGATGACAATGCTTAATAATGTGTTACACCAATCATGGAAGCAGCTAAAATGAAATTATTCAGAAATTTTCCACAAATTTCTCTACAGAATTTAATTAAATTGGAAAGAAGTATTTTTTATTCAAGATCACCAAACCTATAACAAATTACCACCATTCTTGCTTCTACGTAAATATTTTGTTGAGAGCCAACCTACTGCATTACACCTGCTGGCCTTAGCTTATACCAGCTAGCTAGCTTATACCTGCATACTGCATTGAAAACATGTTAGCAACTGTAATCAAAATAGGTACAATGTAAACTTAGTGACAATTTTGTCTCTCACAATATTAAGTTGAAAAGAATTTAAATTTTATAAAATGGGACAATAATTTTAAAAAATTCGTTACTTGAGTTCATACTAAACAGTATAGAGTAAATTATTTTTGAGGGGGATGGTATTCAATTTCCAAGGGAAGGGGTATTTCTACCTCTCTTTCGTGCTAACCCCTGAATTCAACTCTGACTATGCACAATGAACAAAACGTATGAACACCAAAGTGTTTGAGCACGATTTGAAATATTTGTAAGCAGTGCATTGTAACGTCGTGGCACTTTGACAACGGTTCGTCTAAGGCGAACGGCCGGCGAAGGGAACGGTACTCTAGACGTCGGGTGCCGCCCGCCGGGGGCGTGTTCTTGGAATGCGGGGGCAGCTAGCTAAGGAGATGACAGCTGGCGGCGGAGCCCATTTGCAACCGGACCCAAAACTCGGAGACGTCGCCCGCGGGTCGACTGCGTGGGAGATCGGTCACGTGGTTTCTAGCACCTGAAGCTAGCGAAGGTGGATTTCGATTGCGAGGCGCGTGAGGGGAGAATCGTGGCTTTCGAGTGTGGCTTTCGCCACGGGACTGGAGGCCACGGGCGGCGCGAAGATAGAGCACGCTGCGGCTATCATACTGAGGCGGCTTGCCTCAGGGATTTGCAGTGCTGTGGAGGGCAGCGGGAGTTTCCAGGAGAACGTAAATATTGTAAGCAATTTAAATAAATCTGTATAAAAAAACTCTGTGGTAGTGTTTAACTCGCATCACGACGTCTCAATATCAATAGGGCCAGCTCTACGACAGAATATACACATGGAAATCATTTCCTCCATACTTCTTGAAGTTCAACATTCTCTTCCTTGAAAAAAGATACTGCTGGATGTGCCTCTTCATTCTTTTAGACTATTCTCTGGCCAAAATTGTATTAAACAATCAAAGTATTGTGTAGAATAAAGCAAAACCCAGAAAAAAAAATATTATTACATCTTTCTAAATTTATATTGTATTTTAAATCATTTTGAAAAATGATGTTACCTCGTTGTTACAGCCAACAGAAGACAAATAAAATCTTGCTGTAGCAGCAACAAATAAAATTGCTCATTACCGTCTTGAAGTGATTCTACACAGCCTAGCTCTTTCAGGAATGCACTATATAAAAGAAGTGTCTGTCCTCAAACTTCTATTGAATTATTTTTAATCATTCCAGTTTTATTGAGCAATGGAAGCAAAATAACCTAACAAAAATATAAATGAAGAAGAAACTTTTTCTAGCAGAACCACACTGGAAAACAAACAAGCCTCCCCACTAATAAACATTGGTTCATAAACTAACAATCAGGAAATTAATATCAATCGCAGGAACATGAGAAAAATTGGAAAATTGTACTAGTATTAACATCAGCCTAACAGTCTAGAAACGTTTTGTTAAAAATAATTAGTTACACTAAGAATGACAATAACAATCAGTATACAGTAAAAACCATTTAAAAACATAAGTCAGATGAGATGGATGTCCTATGGTTCAAGACCCAGCAGTAGTATATTTTCGAAACTAGCTGGATGGCTAGGTCAGATTCAGCTGCTGTCTGGAGTAGAATTTTAGAGGCCTACTGCTCAAGTTGGTAGTTTCCCGTGGTTTCTTTCTCAATCCAAAGTGCCTAAATACTACCTTAACAAACAGCGACGCTTCCCACACAATCTTTTCTTCCTTATCCTTTCCCTCGTCTCCCCTTACACACACTTACACTTATATGCACTGTACACTATCATTCATGTTGGAACATTAGAGCATATCTTGCCTCGTGCAGCTTCCCACTGGGAGAAATCTGGAGAAAAACACCCGGGGAAAATCCTGCAACCCGACATGTAGGTCATCACTGGATCCCAGCAAGGGAGGAACACTGCTACCTCCTGACTGTTAGCTACTCTACACTCGTGGAACTAATATCTAATGAACTATATGTAGTTCATGTGTCTACAAAACACGAAATACTCACCCAAATACACAAAGTAGGCCACATACAAAGGAAATTATCTGGTGTACATTGATCTTGCTGACAACTAGAGCCGGACAAAATTGCCACATACAAAGAAAATTATCTGGTGTACATTGATCTTGCTGACAACTCGAGCCAGACAAAATGTATTACATTATCACTTGTTCTCACTGGCTTGCTTTTGTAGTTCTCAAGGGCACGCACACTCCTTATCTGCATGTGAAATCTGTAGTTAGGACTTTGTCAAGGATTGGAACTGTCAGTACCACTCATTCTCGACTGTTCTTTGCAGAATTGGAAAAATTCAAGAACTGTGTTCATAGAAGTACTCTCACTACATGGCTGCCCCAATGCCTAATGTGGGTTGTTTTTATGGTAAATGGAGGTTCAACAATATATCTCGTAAGAACACTAAATCAAGAGGCCACTCTGTGATTACAGAAGTATACCCAATACTCACCTGTTTGCGAGCCACTTGTCTGGGTGGTTTTGCAATGCTATCAACATAAGCCAATTTTGTTTGACGAACTGGCAATGACTTTTCCATTGCTTTCTGAATGTTGATGGTGAGGGCTTTAAGTTTGGCTTCACTTTCTTCAGTACATCTCTGCACAAAATAAAACCTAAATAAATCTCTCACTTTAATCTACTTACTCAAACTTAATTCATATTAGTTCAATTTTAATGATCACTTTCATTTCAAAACACACAGAACATACACACATTTATGTTTATTCAATACATTCCACATTAATACACACATCACCAACACCACCGCATATTAGCTATATATATATATAACTAACTCATAATATATATATATATACTATATATATATATATATATATAATACTTATATATACTACACTATATGCCTTCACTCATGTTATAATATTATAACATATATATATCCTAAGATTTCAACATTCAATTTACACATTATGCAATTAACCTAAACATCACTTTTCACAAAGGATTACATAAAAGTAATTTTCAATGAGAGAAAATAATTAATCAATTAGAAAGGGTAGAACAAAAATTCTTTCTTCTGGTTGCATTTAGACTGGGAAAACCTGAACCCTTATCAACCACACCTACCAAGATTTTGTGTGTGTGTGTGTGTGTGGGGGGGGGGGTATGTGTTTATACAAGGAGCCAAGTAGTTGTTCCTTTCTGCAAATAATGGATCCCAGAGGGGTAGGGGGGGGCTAAAGGAAATATACCCTTCCCCAATCCCATTATGCGATAAGCAAAAGATAGGAGAAAATATTTGTTCGTTTTCAATCGAGTTAGAAATGGACACTACAAAGCACAAATAACCTAGTGTTGAAATTACTTCTGCTTCATAAACATTGGCTCATCTTTTATTCTGAGAACATGGTTTCCAAGTAGCGCGAGGAGATTGCGCCAAGGCCTGGAGGTCATAGAAGCACATTAAAAGTACACTACTTTGAAAGAAAAGTGATTGCAGTAACATATATGGCAAACTCGCATCAAAATATGTAAAATGAAAATGGCTCCATTTTATTTAGTTTGTTTTGAACATTCTAAAAAATATTACTGAATGTAGATATCTGATTTCCGTAAAAATATGTATTAACAGAAAAATTCATTTCCTAGTTATAACTTAACTACTCATATTTTCAACTAGTCAACATGACATCATTTAGCTCTAAATTGAAGGGATAAATTGCACTGAGAAAGAAATTTTTTATAATTGGAAAAGAAGGACAGGTTCGAAAACAAATTTTAACTTTGCAATTTTCAAAATTTCAAAGGTTCCATTGAAAATAGGAATTATGCATATTCTAAATGCACTTTCTATTCAAGCACAAAATTTGCAGCAATTTTTTAGAAAATTTTGCAAACGTAAGGAGCTTGACGTAAAATACTCCCCAAATACTAAAATTGAACTTCATAAATTGAAAAGGAAACTGAAAAATGGGAAGGGTGGCTATTCAAGAGAGATTAGTGAAGTTTTTACTGGTTCAGACAGCATGAAGGGCTCATGCACACCAATGGGCATGGTGAGACATACTGTAGGCACCGAAACAAAGAGAAATTAGTGGAGCTACAACACCTCGTACTTTCTTGCATTATTTGTAACTTTTGCAATTTTTGAAAATCAAGAAAGTTAAATGGAAATGACATCTACACCCTTTTTTAAACATCCTTTGTTCTCTCTTAAGAAAAAACATTAAAAAAATTGGAGACGATTCCAAAAGAAAAGAATTCCCAGAAAAAGTTTGTTCAGAAATTGCCTTTACTTCATGCAAAAATTACATGAAAACTTCTCATTATTTCAAAAAATTGTTCATAGACTTATTTCAATCTTTAATTTTTAGAACAGTTATCATTGGGGAAAAAACTCAGCTTTGTATACATTCTTTAAGTCTCTGAATTTTAGGTCAAGTGAATAGTCTCCACCACATCTCCTATTTTCTCCATCTATAATTGGGGTGCCTATGCACGGTCTTATAGTTTCCACCATATCTCCTATTTTCCTCCTATGTCCTACAGTCAAAAGAGACATCTCATGATACCTTTCTTCCAATGACAATTGACAATGTTTTCTTGGGATTTTTGTGAGACATCTCTGCACATTTTCTAAATAGAAAATGTATTTCTGACCATGTGGCGACATTTGCATAGTACATTTTCACATTTCAGCACAGGCCTTACATATGCAGAATGGATTTTCTTTATTACAAGCAGTGTCAATGTGGAAAAAGTTTTTCTAACTCATAGTGTTGGTCTGTTTAGTGACTGAGGCAACTTGTCTCTCCCATTTCAAATCATGGAATATAACAATTCCAAAATTGTTCTGTTGCAATGTTGTGCAAAGGACATGATTTCAAATGATGTAACTGTACTGTGAATTATTCCTTCTAAGATGACTGCTAATGACAATGTAGCCATGTTTCCGACCACTCATTTACTATTAGAATGTAGTGCCTAGTAGTGTTTTCTGGTGGTAGCAAAAAACTTGGTGATATCAGCATAACTATTCCAGTCAGAAGACAGTCCATCTCCAATTTTGCTCACATTTAGAATGAATAGTAGCATTTCTCTAATCCTTGAGAAACTCAACACAAGAAACTTACACTAGTAAGCTGCCTTAGTGATGGTCAATGCTCACTTGAAAAGTTTGCCAGAAAGGTATTCTCAGATCCATTCGAGCAATATCCCTGGTATTCTGAAGGATTTCAGCTTGTGAAGTAGTTGGATGTGTGGGACTTTGTCAAATGCTTTTGCTTATTCTAGGTATATTATGCCGATGGGTTGACCTTCATCCAAGGCTTTAGTCCAAACATCCAAAGAGCCCATCAAATGCAGTGTGTTGATCTTCCAGTAACAAAATAGCAACAATAGTTTCCCACAACAAGAATTATTTCTTTGTGCAGAGTAACAAAACTTCTGGACAATCCCTCTCCATGACTTTTCCTGCTGTGCTAGAGAGAGATAAAGGTCTGTAATTTGTGGCTTTCTGTTTACCACCGTTCTTAAAAATGGGTGCAAAAGTTGCTTTTTTCCATAAAAATAATAAGTTTCATGATTTCCTGAAGATACTGTTCAACAGAGGTGTCATTTGAATTAAACAATGCTTGACGTATAAAGTTGGAATATCATCAGGACATACTGAGGTGTCACACAATCCATGCATTGCAACCCTTGCAATTCCATCATCTGAAAAACCCTGATCCTCAAGAGTTTCAGTGCCTCTGTCTTCCAGAGTTGTGAGTTGATCAACAGATTCCGACGTACAGACCTCTTTAAATGAATAAGCAAAGCATTCTTCAATTTCAAATGGAACAGTTAACATTGCTCTCCCAACTTCATCTTAGATCACCCAGTTTTACAGGCTGTTTGTTTTCACGTATAAGAGTCTTTTTCTATTTCATGAATCTTCCACTCTCTAAGACAATTTGTTCTCCATCAATTTGATCGTATTTCACTTATTAGTCTGTTGAAGATAGCCCTGTAAGCCATAAGCTCCTGTGCACGAGTGTGCACTTCAAATATGTATTTTGTTTAGTTTTGATTTGGATCGGTCTCTTGATTTGGAGGTTGATTCAAGCTTTATCTTGACTTCTCTCATGGCTGGCTTTATGTGAGTGCAATTTTAAAAGTTTTTGCTTCACAAAATCTTTAAATTCAATTTTCAGGTCATCACTCTAAAACACATCCAGTGTACTATTAAATAATTCATGTTCAGCCTGTCCATACAATTGAAGGGACAATGGGATCTCCAAGAATTAGAGCAGGTGTTCATAATTCACAGACTGCATCGATTTTGTCAGAGTTAAAGATCTGATTGCCTAGGCCTGGTATCTAATGTTAATCGCCTACAAATTCCCGCAATGACTGAATTGCACCACAGTCTGATCTAAAGTAGTTCCACTTCAATGGGTTGTTTTTTTTTCATAGTTGTCTCAACAATAAATACAGCCTGATGGTCTGTGACAATGACCAAGTGGTCACTTATGTCAATATTTGCTCTCAGGGTAAGAGGGGTAAGAAAATTACCATTAATTAGCACCAGGACTCGTGTAGCTTGTGTTTGATTTATTCTAAACTGAGTGGTTCACAAATAATCAGGGTAAGATTGGATTTAAAAAAATGTTGCAAAAACTCTCTGAACTTCAGAATTTAGGGTTGCACCATTTTCTGTCCATACAATTGAAGGGACAATGGGATCTCCAAGAATTAGAGCAGGTGTTCATAATTCACAGACTGCATCGATTTTGTCAGAGTTAAAGATCTGATTGCCTAGGCCTGATATCTAATGTTAATCGCCTACAAATTCCTGCAATCAAAATTTGCATGTTTGCAATTTTAATTGCAGCCTCAGCGTTTCTACTTTATGGTCATTATGTTCATGAATCTCAGTGACTCTTGAAATCGCTTTACCCAATCATATTCCTCATGTACATAATAACTCCACCTGTATGTCTAAACAACTCCTGTGGTTACTTGAGAAATTAGAAAGGGGCATCAGTGAATCAGGAATATTATAATTTGGCCACGATTCTGTAATTATTATTATGTCTGGATTCGCTGTTTAATTCTAAGAGAAACTGAACAAATTTTAGGGGGTGGAGAAAACATGTTTGTAAAGACCAATTTAGGATTTATTTCCTTTATGCTTGTTACTGCTTTTTGCCATTTTTCTTGCCCTTGCCAATGATGATTCAAGTTCCTTTGGTCTCTGTTAGCTATTCGAACACATCACATATTCTTGCCTGCTGCCATTATCGCCACCCAAAGAATTTTTTTTTACATTTTCTTCATTTTTCTGTTTTCTAATTGTAGTCTGGAAATATTATTATTAATAAACAGTAAAACTTCGTTCAAAATATTAATTTTCATTGAAAAATTTGGAGTTGTTTTAGAAACTAGCATGTAAGCGCTACTGTAAATTCCAAATTTGAATCTCTTTTTCACAGAAAATATTTAGAGTTTTCGAACAACTTAATTTGAAGTAATTTTAACTACTTTAACTCACAAGTACAATACTGTTTACAAGTTGCTGGAAATATGCAGATCATCCGCATGAAAGATCTTTCAAAAAATTTACATTTGTGCATCTTTATAAAAAAAAAAAAAAAATACACTGAAATTAACTTTACATCATTTTAAAGAGTGCAATTACCACTAGCCATTCGAAATGTTTAAAGAAAAAAATTGGAGCTGTTTTTGAAAAAATTGTGTTTGCAAATTTCTGAAAATGCGGAGATTTGAGCTAGTTTTCACAGAAAACAGAGTTTTTGAGAAACTTTATCTGACATTATTTAAAGCACATATACTTATAAATACAATAATGTGAACAAATTGCCACTAATACAAATATTAACATGAGAGATAAGTAAAATAATTACATTTTTATGATTTTTGAAAAAGAAAAAAAGAATAGAGCAATCTGGCTTTTATGTCATCTTATAGAGTTCATTTAGCTCTATCCATACCAAAAGTTTAAAGGAAAACTTGGGGGCCAATTTTGAGAAATTTTTGTTTTTGTAATTTTTTAAAATTGCACATATTGCATGCAACATTGTGTGAAAACTATTGAAAGTTTCAAAAACATTTACACAACTTACTGTGGAGAAGAAATTGTATTTGAAGGAAAAAGTTCTATATTTCATTTTGCAGTTGTAAGATGACACCAAAAACAATTCATACTGTTAACCGTAAAAATCGGCCATGTTTGTATGTGTATATTACTCTATTCTTACAAAAATTTAAACAAAAAATTCAGAGCGGTTTTTTGAGAATATTTCGAAAATGTTCAGGGGGGCTTGATGTAAAATACCTCCAAATTTTATACATTTTTTTTTCAAAATCTCAAAGATTCAACTCAAGCCACATCGACAGGGGTTTCTGCAATTTTGAAAAAATCCTAAGCAAGGTTTAGGCCTTATTAGAGATCACAGACACCAGATGGACAGACGGTTTGTGAAAAATAAGAACACTTTTCTGGTATCAGAGGATCCCTACATGTGTATTTTCATCAAAATCGCTAATTCGATTTTCGGTAGCATTACATAACTTTCCCCATACTATGAATATTTCGTATGTATATGGGAAACTAAAAGTTAATATTCTATAATAATGTACTAGTGTTTCTATTGTCCTGATTAGAGTTCAAGAAGGTTCATGTCACAAGAAAACTTTCCCTGTTAACTAAAATATTATTCCTTGGATCAATAACATGGCACTAAACAAAGTGGGTGTTCTCATTTCAGGAGTTTGAAGGTAATATAGTATGAGAAGACACAAAATGTAACTGCTGCAGAGCAATGAATAATTGTAACTATATCACAACCGTTCTTTCTTAATACGATTTAAGATTTATCTAATAAGTACTACATCCACTGAGGATGACAGAACATTATCAATAGCAACATATTTAACAAATGGGATTTATGATGATTTTCCAGTGTTTTCTTTTTTATGTTTTCCTGTTAAATTCACATTTGTAGTAGTAATTTCACACTACTAAAAGAAATTATTAAAGCTACCCTGATAATAATTGGTCAGCTTTCTGATTTTGCCCTGACCCAGTACAAATTAAACATATTTTCTCACCCAATAAAAACCGTGTAAAATAGTTATGATAAAAGTGGTTAAAGTAACCTCTTATTTTGCGAGTAGGAGGGGTTGCAACACAAGGCCAATAGGCCATTCTGTTTGTCCCCTCTGTCCCTTTTATCCTGTTTGTCCCCTCTGTCCCATTTGACCGGTACGTCCCCTCAGTCCTTTTCGTCCCCTCTGTCCCTTTGCTCTTACGTCCTTTTTCGTTATTTTGGTACTTCCTTCCGGTCAGATGAAAGTATTTTGATTCTCTGTTGCATTCACAGATTTATCAGAGCACATGAACATAGTCTCACTTTTAGGGCTAGGACTAAAAGTTGTACTTTTAGCATGCTTGGCAAGCTCTGGAAGAGCTGCTTTGAATACTCATCTAAAAAATCTGTTTGCTGTTGTAATGCTGATTTGGTGTAAAATATTTTTAAGAAATAATATCTAGTTTTATAATCCTTTCCACTAACTTTTAATGATTCTTCCACAAATTCCCTGTTTTTTCCAACTTTTCTAGAGCCATGAAATTCATGATTTTCCCCAGTTTTTCATGTTTATCCGAAAAAGGCCACCCAGAATTTATTCATTTCTGCATTCATTTCTATTATATATCTCATTAAAACTCTTACCTGGAACATTTCACGGTGAGATTCCATGTCAAGTCTTCGTTCATTGCGGAACTTCCGACGCACATGACTCTGCCACAGTTCATCGGTATCTTCTATTAAATAAGGATTGTAATGTTCCAAAACAAAGAGTTGCTCAGGAGTAGCATGTAATAAAACTGGTTTCAAAAGATCATAAGGGACACCACCAGTATACTCCAATGCTGTAAACAGAGATTGGCAATAGTTTGATATTTTGATACTTTGATATTTTGAACATTTATTACAAGTTAGTTTAAACTGAATTTCTGCATCTAGAATCACTGCTTTAAGAGTTTCAAGAATTAACTACATCTCTCTTGTTCCTGCAATAATTCATTCATATTTAATGTTGAAAAGGAGCAATATTGGGTACATGCAAATTGTGCATAGAATACAAATGACTCATTTCTCTTATGCTGGTTTTGAAATCACACACAATCAAGTTAAAAGTAATAATATAATAATAATAATAATAATAATAATAATAATAATAATAATAATAATAACAACAACAATAATAACAACAACAACAATAATATATTTATAATATATATTTAAATATAATATATTATTATTATTATTAGTATTAGTATTAGTATTATTATTATTATTATTAAAATAATATCTAAAGTCATTATTTTTTTAATGCATTCTAACTGTGCCAAACTAAAACATTTGTTTTATTTTAAAGAAAAAACCCATAAAGAAAACAACCGTTTATATTTTCCAGTAAAAAAAAACACGAAAGATTTGGCACAATAGGAGCCAGGTGGAAACTAAAATTTGGTAAGTAAAAGCCATATTAATTGGAATTATCCTCCTCTCTCAGATTAAACTATTGCTTCCATTTTCCTGTACAAAACTGAAAAGTTTATGAGGAGAGAATTTGTCATGACCACAGATCTCTCCTCCAGAAGCGGCAAGGCCAAGCCTTCAATGACTGTCTCTTACTTTACCACAGTGCATGGGAGAGCGGGCTCTACGGTAAGATCGGTTTTGCAGTAATCGCAAGTCGGGGGTTAATCGCCGCAATGAAAGTATCCCGGGGGAGAAATGAAAGTGAGTGGTTCAAAAGTGTAACTTGGGTGAATGGTCAGTAATTTGGGTTCCTGTTATTCCTGCATGACCAACACTTAACAAAGATCCAAATTGTAATAATGAAACATTAGATGGTGCATTTTATATTGGTCTAGTGGATGTTGTCCTGCCCTCCATCTCTCTCTCTTTCTCCTTCGCTCTCCATCTCTCCCCGTCCCTGACTCTCTGTCTACGTCTCTCTCTCTCTCCGTGTCTTTCCGTCTCTCTCAGTCTTTGTCTCTGGGCGTCTCTTTCTCTAACTCTGTTTCTCTCTCTGTATCTCTCTCTTCCTCTGTCTATCCCAGGAGAAATTCCACAATCGCAGGGGCAGAATACGCAATGAAGATGTCTCACTAGTCGTACGTCAAGGTGCAGCGGATTGGAGAGAGTGCCTTCTTCAAGGAGGTTGAATCAGCATAACCATCATCAACGTGTGTCTATGTGCGCAGGCATATGCACATTCCCATCGTGCTATGCCTATATTCTTCCCAAAAGTGTAAGCAATAAGTTGAGAAAGTTTCATCGTAATCAGATACGATACGTCGCCCTTTTAAGTACAAACCAACAAACAAACATTGTTTTTTATATATTAGATTTTAATTGTTAAAGGTTTGCAAGAAAAGTATGATATATATTCAAGAGCTGTTTTGGGATCTCTGCACACAATTACTTTCCTTAATAACATCAATTAAGTGAATTTCGTTGCCACCAATAACCCAAATTTGTCTGCAGTATATACACTCTGCACGAAGAATCAATACGAATGCTACACATCATATTATGAAAGTATATCCTACTTTGCCATTTTGTGAGGAACCATTAGTGTAAATGAGTAGGCCAGGGAATTGATAAATTTTATCTTCTAAAACTATTTTAGATATTTACTACAGGGATTTTTTTTTCAGGGAGGCTGGCCAGGCTAAGGTCTCTTCTGGAAAAGTTCCTACGGGGATAGGATAGGATGAAGATCCTGTATAAATTCAACCAAGAGACATTCATGGTTTACACCCATGAGCTACCATGAAGGGTATGAGGGAGGTCCATTGGTGGCACACATCGGCTCTTCAGTTAGAGAAGGGCTGGCCAACTTAATGCTCTATGACATCACAAAACTCTGCTATTCTGCTCGTAACCGAGCCGGTAAGCAAATGTAGTGGGGGGCACAGCGGCGGGCTTACAGGGTATGAAAGATGGTATGAAATGAAATGATGGTATGAAAGTGGGGGGAAAAGGTTTGCTCGATACTTACGTTTTTGAATGGTAATTATTATTTACATGTTCATGATTCAATAAAACTTCAAAAAATTAATTTTATTCTAAACCTACTGAGCCTCGCCAGTGTCCATTTTCCATCACGGTGGAGGTAGAGTAGGTACAGGCATTCCACCCATTATTCTCTTCCCAGCTGCCATCTTTTGCTGTCGAAGGCTCATTTTCACTTTCTCGCACTGAAGAGGGAACTTCTTATGACAGAAAGTTATATAATGGTGCGCCAAAAACGGCGAATTTTCGGCAGAAAACTCTTATTACAAGGTCCTAGTAACTTTATATTGTTTGTATTGTAAGTTTGATACAAAACTACTAAAAAGATTCTCATATATTTTGAAAACATGACCTTCTTTGAATTTTTTCTATGTACACATTTCATAAAAAAAAGTTGTATCTTCATAATTGTAGTTGTAGGAAGATGGAGAAAAAAATATTTTTTTTTTCAATTATCGAAAAATCAGGTTTTTTAACCAGCATGCGACCTGCGTCACTTTCTGAAACGTCCTTCAAACAACAAAATTTAATCAAAATCGATGGCGCCATTTTTCATAAATGTTCTAGGGGCTTCATGTAATGTGCCCTCAAAATTAAAATATCGGTTTCAAAGACAAGGGGCCGCGACATCTGCCAGATCGATAAAGAAATATCAATTTTGGAGAAAACCGGCTGGACGGTTTGGCCGCTAGCGTTATTCACAGACGTTTTGCCGTCAATCGATTTTTCGGTATCAAGGACCCATAAAATATGGATTCTGGTTACACCACGTGTCGGAGGATTTTTTTTTCTTTCTAAATTTAGCAACTGGATTTATCCACATTTTCGTTACCAGGACTCTGCAATAACGGTTTTTCGGCCGAAACGTCGCCGTTTCTTCGCGCCGTCTTTCTTCTTATCAAGTTCTTTCTTCTTGTCAAGTTCTTTCTTCTTGTCAAGTTCTTTCCCTTCTTGTCAGTTCCTTTTCTTCTGTCAAAGTTCTTCTGCCTTGTCCAAGTTCTTTTCTTCTTGTCAAGTTTCTTTTCTTCTTGTCAAGTTCTTTCTTCTTTCAATTCTTTCTGCTTGTCAAGTTCTTTCTTCTTGCAAGTTCTTTCTTCTTGGTCAAGTTCTTTCTTGCTTGCAAGTTCTTTCTCTTGCAGTTCCTTTTGCAAGTTCTTTCTTCTTGTCAAGTTCTTTCTTCTTGTCAAGTTCTTTCTTGTCAAGTTTCTTTTGTCAAGTTCTTTCTCTTGTCAAGTTCCTTTCTTCCTTGTCAAGTTCTTCTCTTCTGTCAAGTTTCTTTCTTCTTGTTCAAGTTCTTCTTCTTGTCAAGTTCTTTTTGCTTCGTCAAGTTCTTCTTCTTGTTCGAAGTTCTCTTCTTGCAAGTTCTTTCTTCTTGTCAAGTTCTTTCTTCTTTGTCAAGTTCTTCTTTCTTGTCAAGGTTCTTTCTTCTTGTCAAGTTCTTTCTTCTCAGTTGTCAAGTTTCTTTCTTCTGTCAAGTTCTTTCTTCTTGCATCCTTTCTTGCAAGTTCTTTCTTTGTCAAGTTCTTTCTCTTGTCAAGTTCTTCTTGCTTAATCAAGTTCTTTCTTCTTATCAAGTTCTTTTTTCTTATCACGTTCTTTCTTCTTATCACATTCTTTCTTCTTAAGAAGTTCTTTCTTCAGCGCGAGAAATTAAAAATAACAAAAACAAAATTTTCTTGAAAACGGACCGAATTTCTTCTTTACACTTTGGTAGGGATAGGGCTAAACATACTCTAAAAGATGACATAAACGCTACAAGTTTGTATTTGCTATTCATTTGTATTTTAAAAAATTACATAAATGTAATTTTTTGACATCTCTCTCACATAGTTAATATATACATTGGTGGTGATTTGTTCATCTTATTGCATTTACGAGTATATATGCTTTAAATTATTTTATAAAAATGGTTCGAAAACTCAAACACGTTTTATGTGAAAGTGAGGTCATATTTCCGCATTTTCTGAAACGCTCAAACGCCATTTTTTCAAAAACGGTTCCACGTTTTTCTCTTCAAACTTTTCGTTTGGATAGAGCTAATTGCATTTTTTATAATGACAAAATTAATTTTGCTGTATTCTTCTTTTTTCAAAAATTACACAATTTTTTTTTTTTTAAATATCCCTCACGCCTTAATATGCACTTTCCCACGATTTGTATGCATTATTGTATTTGTGAGTGGAAGCTCTTCAAATGACTTTCAATAAAGCCTTTCGAAAAAATAGTTTTCTGTGAAAAAGAGATTCAAGTTTCGCATTTACAGTTATGCTTAAATGCAATTTTCGTAAAAACGGCTGCAATTTTTGCAATGAAAATTTCTATATTGGACGAGATTTTACTCTTTTATAACATTCTTAAAGTACTTTTTCGCTTCTGCCATTAAAAAACCGAAAAATTGTGCAAATGCGAAGAAATTATGTTTGGGCGCGATAGATGACACCTGGCAAGCGGAAGGGGCACAAGCCAAAAGCCCGGCCAAAAAAATTAGGTAACTAACGAGTACGATAATGTTCGTGCCATTCTGTACAATTTTTTTTCTTGGTATGAAATTTCTTACTTTTGCCAAAGAGTGGAATAGTTAAGACAAAAATGTTTACCTTCATAAATGTAGTATTAGGAAGACGCGGAAGACATTATGGACTTTTTCAGTTTTCAAAAAATCAAGTTTATTAACCAATATGAAACCTGTGCCATTTCCTTATAAGTGATTCAGTCTATCCAATAATAAAAATTAATTTAAAAAGGATGGAACCATTTTTTGTCCAATGTCCAGAAGCATCATGTAAAGTACCCCCCTCCAAAAATTAAAATATGTTTCGTATACAAGGAGCCGCGACAACGTGGTCACTTGGTATTTTTTATAAGCATATATGCTGGTTATCCAGCATATATGCTTATATGAACATTTTATTAATTCATAATTTAAGCAGCTATCACTATTACTTTATTTTGATTACTATTAAATGCATAATCTAATAATTAGTAATGTCATGCATGAAGGATGTTTTAACAGAGTGATTAACGTCATGTTTGATGGATTGTGTCATGATCACATGAAGTGTAGTGTAGAGTAGTCTAATACAATAATTGCGTGTTTAATGCAATAATAGATTTATATACAGATTTATATACTTTATATTTATAAAAGAAATAAACATTCAGACTTGTTATTAATATTTTTATTGTTATTCTTGTGTTGATATCTTTTGTGTATTGTATTATTCTTATTGAGTAGGTAGAAAATCACACATTTTATATTTTAAAATAACTATATAAAGTAGAAATAAGCATAGAGAATTATTGCTATTGTTATTATTATTATTATTATTTGTATTACCATCATCATCTAGATTATTATGCAACTCTTTCAAAACAATTTTAAGCTATGCATATGCATAAATATCATCAATTTCAAGAAAATTATGGTAGAGTTTTGCCACTGGGTTTCAGAAATAATAAAAAAAGCATTAAAACATTTAAATGGGTTTTTATTTTTATTTTTTTTCTAGTTTTAACAGGTGTTTTTTGGGGGGCTGGGAAAAAATAAGCCCCACCTTGGTTTGCTAGTTGTGGTTCTCTGAGAAAAAAGCAATTGCACTTCGAGGTTTTCCCATCAGCACTTCAGCATTTTTTTGAGGGCCAATTGAATAGCCTTAACACATTGTCTAGCCTTAAAATACAATTTTCATAAATTTTAACTTATTTCCGAAGCCACAGAAAGCATAAATATTTCGCTTTCTACCACAAAAACAGGTTCAAAAGGATTTTATTTTACTAATACTACTTCAGACCGTTCTTATACTCTGAACCACTGGATTAAACAAGACTGTCAAGTCTTGTCTATGTTAGAACTTAAAAAAGTAATTTTCTATAAAATGAGTTCATTTAGCTTACCATCAATGTTCTCTTGAAGAACTCTCACACAGATATCAAAAAGTGAAGGAACAGTGGCCCAGCTTTTGGAACTTTTCACTCCAGAGTACACCTTTGTTCTGGAAAAAGAAAAGTATAAATTTATAATTAAGTATACAAGTAAACAAGAATTCCTACAAAATAAATCAAATGGCATCTGTTTTAATTAAGTTTTTTGAAAACCTCACAATTCAATCCTCTCTATGCCAGGCAATCAATGAATTAACATTGCGATTCAATATCAATGAAATATTACTGTTCTTTATCAAACAAAATTCTTAAAATAGTCGATTTTCAATCCAAATATCCGATATACACTCCTATAAAATGTAATTTATACAATATCTACTTTAATATCCTAACATTTACCTCTGGTTCTTAGTGGACATCACTTGAGATAAGGCTTCCTCCTCAGTGAGAGACTTCACTCGAGCACGAGAAGGCATGTCCAAGTTTAAATGAGGCAGAGGGCGATAATTAGGGTTGATAGTAGGCAGAGTAGCATCTACGTCTACTTCCATGTCCAACTCGTCCAAAGGTACTAACTTTGCCGATGGATCCAGCAGATTTAGCTAAATTGTACAAGACCAATTAACAGAGTACAATTTACATATAATAAAATGATTGTGCATGGAAATATATAACCATAAAAGTTAATGTTTCAAATTAAGTGTAGGTCAAAATGATAATTTAAAGAACAAAAAGATATTAAGAGATAAGTAACAAACAATGGGGGAAAAAGGCTCCATCATGTTATTTATGTATTTCTTGCAAGATCTTGAAAAAGGAGTATATTTTTCAAAATAACTACTTAATAAGCAATTAAAAATAAATTCTATCAAACTAAATTGCAAAACCAGGTAAATATAATATTTCTTTCAATTACAGTTAGATTCCATAAGATCAAAATTTTACAAATATTATTAAGAAATGGAGCACAAATATGGAAATGAACTCAAAATTTAAGTAATAAATGAATAGCAACTGAAATGTATTTTTTAAAAAGAGCTGCTCAATTAACTATCAAGGACAAAATACAAAATGTAAACATATGAGAAAAAATTATTAAAAAGAGTAGCATTTTACAATTTATTAAATAAAAACAATTAACCTGGTATGGGCATACTAAAAGAATGAAAGAGGATTGGTTAGCCAAAAAAAGTTTTTGAGTGGTTTCCAAATGGTAGAAGAAAAAGAGGAAGATAAAAACAAACTTGGAAGGAAGAAGTTTTAAAAGAAAGAGAAAAAATTACAAGAGAAAAGAATAGAAAGATAGAGATAAATGGAAAAAGAATATTAAAAAATTCCTTAAATAGATATTGACTTTACCAATTAATACGTTGTTAGTTGATGTATTTGAAAAAATGGGTGAAGTAAAGATATTTTCTACACAAGAACTTGTGAATAAATAAAAAATTAATAAGAAAGAAACATTTTGATTTAGAGGTCAGTAAAATCAGATCTTGCTCCCCAAAGATTCAGATGCACAGATCTTATCTTTCAAAAAATGTAACAATAAGAGGGAAAAATAGCACAAAAAAGAAGAGAAACACTATACGCTAAAACAGAATAAAACTCTTCTTGAACGTCAACAGAAACACAAACATTTTCTGCTAAATATCATCAGAGGTATTTACTGCTATTAAAATTAGGTTGTGATTTAAAGGTACTGTGCATCTAAACAACTAAGAACTGCAAATAAAACATTACCTCAGACAGAATATGAAGGCAAACAAAAATCGGTACAAAGAACAAATTGAGTTCTACAACTCAATCTTCCAGCTCATATAATGCAACAAATGTAAAAAACAGATCATCAGTACAAATACTGAAAATGCATGATAAAAATGAAGATGCCCAATTACATAAAAAGTCACAAGACGTGGATGTGATATTATGCAATTCCAACCACAAACAGCAATATACATTGCATAAACAAAGAATAATCATGCAAAAAAAAACAACAAAGTTTCAAAATCTACAAGTGTCAATGTTAGATGACTTGATAACGAAGAGCCAATAATCTAGTTAGAGGTTTCAAAAATTAAAATGGAAAAAGAGATGAATACAGTTTTTGAAAAAAAAGAGTGCCAGTGAACGCCATATAATGGCATATCGTTATAGTGACATCAACAATTTAAGTGGGTCAAGTGAAAATGGGTGAAGGAGAATGGGAGACAATTAATGTGACCTTGTGCCAAATAACATGTTGAGGATTGCAAATTATAGTGTCGCAGAAAACCTGAACAATACACAGTTTGATGAGGTTCAGGTACACACATACCTTCACATTTCTAAGAGAGATAGCCATCATATTTTGAAATTCTTAAACTCAATTGTCACACTGGCACCTTTCTACATTTTGTTGCAAAGAATGAATCACTCACGTAAGTTGCAAAATTGTGAAAAACATACTTTTTAACTATTTGCAGGTTATATTCGGGTCACAATTGCCAACACTGAATTATAAGGAGATGAAAGTTCCATTTTGAAATTTACTGTATACAAAATAAATTCTTAATGATTAAAAATGTAATGACATTACACAATTAGGTTTTTCTAATCTTCATAACAAATAACTGAAATACAGTCCAAATAAGACTAATGAAACCTTGAATTATATGTATCACTTTAGCATTATTAAGCATAGAGTGAAGTCAAGAAGTGATTTATTCTATTTGAAGGAACCTAAACTATGATACCATAAATGGTATCAAAAAACTGATTGCCAAAATAACAAGTCAGACAAGTAACTATGAAGGTGATAAAAGAGTAATTCTTGCAAGCAAAAGCTAAAAACAATTCTATAAAAACACTATAAATAGTGTTACTAGATTACATCTAAAAATAGTGTTACTACAATACACATGAAGATGTAGGTCAAACTGGAAAAGTATAAAAACAAAATATCACATTGAAGAAAATGCTGACCATTTTGAAAGTAACTATGGTAGTTGCTAGTACTCTATTACACTGTTTTTCAGTAATAAATTTTGTAAGAGACCTCAAATTTTAGTTTTCAAAAATTCATGATTTCCTTTTTTTAATTAAATAATTACATACATAAGAACACTCACATCTTCTGGAGATGTAGGAATTTTTAAATGAGATGAATTACGAGGTGTAACATCTTTAGGTTTATGACTACTACTTGCAGAGGTGCTGGCCTGACTCCCAGAAGGCCCTTCCGGTTTCTTTGATGTACTACTAGACACTTTCTTTTTCTTCTTGGTAACATTATCCATCTTACCCATCATGCCCAAAGCATCAGCAAAACTTGTTCCTGTTGGAAAGGAAGAAAATTTTAAACTGCAAAAGTTGTTTAAAAATTCAACTACAAGAAACAGATTGATGCATCATTAAATCAAGGATCTCTCGCTGAACATGAAATGAGCACCTTCCCTACTATCCTAATCTCTTTTCGTGTGTGTGTATGTGTGTGTATATGTATAACATTAAACATAATAATTGTTAAAATTTTAAATAAGAAACAAGAATACTCGCTTCGGAAAAACTATTTTTCTAATCTCAATTTCAGTTATAATATATTAACAAGATGAAACAAAAATAGACTTGAATTTTTCTGTGATATACTAAATATTTGAATATATTAAAATAAAAGTAGAAATTTCCACACGAGAAGTATCTATAGGCAAGAATAGAGAAAACAAATTCCTATACATGAGAAATTGATTTTTAATATAAAAACAGCATTTTTTTAAATCACATTTACAAGTCCGGTTCTGTAAATTTACAATAAAATGTTTTGAAAATTAAGTTATACACAATCAAATCAGAAATATTATGTTAAAGAATTGAGATAAACGTACTAAATTTATGATGAAATATTTGAGAAGGATGCCATTTTTGATCCATAAAAATAAATATCTCCTGTACTGAGAATTTGTTTATAATTGGTTTTGAAACTTCTAATCTTTTCATTTGTATTACAACACCCCTTTATTCAGTCCCTTAGATTGACCAAACAACTTCAATTTGAATATATTCTTTAATAACTTGTGTTAATTTGATGTTATTGGATTGGCCATTATTATGGAAAATATTAACTATAAGTGAGTATTACTAAACTAACCAGAGAATGAATCTATACCATCTTCTGTTCCTTCTGAAGATACTTTGACTTTTTTTGTGCTCGCATTTTTACTTTTGTTTTCAGTTTTGGAAGAGTTGCCTTTGCTTGAGCTTGTACCAGGTTTTGGGTCTTCCTTTGGAATGTTTTTGCTTTTTTCATCTTTTTTATCATCCTTCACCTTTTTTTTCATATCTTCTCTATTTCTTGTTTCAGATTTAATTCTCTCCCTTTCTTTTTCCTTTTCTCTTTCTTTTTCCCTCTCTCTTTCTTTTTCCCTCTCTCTTTCTTTTTCTCTCTCTCTTTCTTTTTCCCTTTCTCTTTCTTTTTCCCTTTCTTTTTCCTTTTCCCTTTCTTTTTCCTTTCTCTCTTTCTCCTTTCTCTCTTTTTCCTTATCCCTTTCTCTGCTCTTTTCTTTCTCTCTAATTCTTTCTTTTTCCTTAGTCCTTGATTTATCTTCTTTATTATTATAAACACCATCACTTTTACTTCCTGTTTTAGAACTACTGTCATTTTTTCCTTCAGTCCTTTTACTATGCCTATTATCATCGTAACTAGATTTCTCCCTTGATTTCTCAGATTTGTGATGTCCACCTGAATGATTTCTTGAACTTTGGCTGTTGTGATTGCTGTGAGACATGTTTGCACTATGAGAATTCCTCTGCTTTGTGTCACTGTGTTTTCCACTATGTTCATGTTTCACTTGAACTGTAGGCACATGTTCTGTATCGGAAGAAGAGTCACTGTTGTCTAGTACTTCCGTTTCTGAAACTATTTCATTTTCTTCATTTTCGTCATCTTCTTCTTCCTCCTCGTCTTCTTTTCTTTCACTTCCATTACTATCAGCTATAGAAACATTATCACTTTCATTATTCTCTAATTCTTCTTGTGATTCATGCCCTGAATCCCCCACTTGTTCTTCTTCTTCTTCATCCTCCTCTTCCTCTTCTTCTTCATCTTCTTCCTCCTCCTCCTCTACAACATTCCTTTTCCTGCGCTTCTCTTCAATTTGCCTACTTTCCTCCTCATGATGACGTTTATGTCCTTGATCATGGTGTTTAGATTTGCTTCCTAATTTTTCATTTTTCTTATTATCACTATGACTACTGGAAGAATTTCTATGCACAGATTTATTTTTCTCTGAATGAGTTTCTTCTCTGTGGGAATCTGATCGGCTAGATTTATGTTTAAGAGAACTACTTCTAGGTGGAGGAGATTCTGTTCTAGTCCTATGTTTCTCATTTGTAACTTCTTCATCACTACTTTCAGCTTCTGCGACCATTGCTTTCCATTTGTTAACCAATGCCTTTGCAGCTTCACCAGTATCACCTTCATATTTCCGTAACGCATTTACAGTTCTTCCTACACCTGTTTCTTGTAAGTGTTGTACTGTCACTGGAAGACGATATAACTTCTGCAGGCAGTGCAGCATCTGGAGAGAAAAATGTAATGTATTAATGACAGTACAAGTTTCTCAGTTACAATATTTTTTTTGTTTTTCAAGGAGGTAGTCTTAAAATATAGCCTAAAGCAAAATTTGTTCAAAAATAATAAATTTAGTGCTTTGTTAAAAGTTATACTCTGACTGAAACATGGAAAGTATGCATGTTTAAGTATATCAATAAATAGTGGGTTTTTTTTTCTCGTTGCTACTGCACATGATTGCTGGGAAGAATATTAAGTGTAAGTCTTTAAATCAAACTCTTACTTTATAGTGTTTAAAGCATACATTTAAGTATCACAAACTGACAAGTTTATGATAAACAGTTTGAGAGTGGTGAATTATGCCAGAAGTGTAGCAGCTGCACCAGTGAAAAAGAGCAAAAAAATGTACTTTATCCTTTTTCACATAACAGACAATAGTTCTCACCCTTTGCACGTCACCGTTACATTTTTCTATGTTGCGCTGATAATGTTTCACAGCGTTAATAACCTCCATATTTGACATGACGAGCCTGACGAGCGCAGTCAGCCAGCTGTTTTCCGCTATTCCCAAAATCAAATAAGTGACTTTTTAATTTTACTACCTCTTACAATCTGCGTGTACTACTTAAGTATGTCTACATAAATATATATAAAATTATTTTTAATATTCAGAGAAATTTCCATGTAGAGAATTAGAAACATGCGAACAGTTGCAAGGAATTTCCAATCAGCCTCGAACAATCTAGTATTCTAAACTCTTGCACCTGCAATTGGAAACATGAGACACCGAATAGGGAACATAATATCAATGAAACGTGGCAGTTATTAGGCAAAGTCTTCCTGTCATCTACTTCCAAAATATTAGACAATAAAATATCAAAGAAAATGTTTCCCATAAAAATAAGCGAAATTTCGCGTAAAGAAAACTCTTCGCTTCACTTTATTTTACAATAAATCATTCATCAAAAAGGCAATGTTACTTGTATTTTCATATTGTGAATTTCTCTGATTTGCGTCTAATAATTTTTGTTCTGTACTTTTTGTTTAGTTTTTTATTTGTTTCATGTAATACACTGTGTATACTTGGTATGTGATGTGCGTATTCTTTCATAATAAATAAATAAATATACGTATCATGTGTGTATCAGTGGTGGATCCCGGGGGAGGGCATGGGGGCTATGCTTCATGCCCCCTTCCTTTATTTTGCAAAATTGAATTAAATATTTATTGAAGTAGGAATGATGTAATTATTTAAACAATAATATTGCATAGTCCTATATACATGCTCCAAAAAATATACAATATATTTTAATATATGTAGAATATAATAATAATAATAATAATAATAATAATAATAATAATAATAATAATAATAATAATAATAATAGCAACAACAACAACATAAATATGTTTATTATTTAACAAAAATATATGATCCCCCCGCCCCCAAAATGATCCGTCCCTGATGTGTGCGCGCGCGTGTGTGTAGCATAAATACACACAAAAATTGTTCAGGAATTTGAATGTACGAACAGAAAGGAAATTTCGGATTGCCGAGGCTTCAATATATAGTGAGTCTGTGCTCGTGTGTGTATAATTTTGGGTTACAACTCCATTCCACTATCGTAAGTGGTATTTATTATGAGATTAAAGTATTAATGAAGTATTAATGAAGTATTAATACATAGCAATAATGAAATGTTTTATACTACTGAATATAACTTTCATAACGTTTCTGTACGTGCACGAGGGGCGACACGTGCCAAATTTTACCCGTGCCCCG